TTTGCTGAACGAGGAGTGTCAGGTCTAGATTTCATTACCATTTCAAGGAGTTGGAAGTGCATTTGTTAATTGCTCATGATGAGCCTGGTTTATATATAAACATCTGTGTTGAAGAAAATTTCATTTGTTTGCCAAGCAAAAGCTGAATCAAATGCGGGGTTTCAACAATTAATGCACATTTAGAGCTGGCTAGACATCACTACTCTAATCTCAACTTCAGGGAAGAGAGGCTACGAACGTGCGGTCCATACTCTCTGCAAAACAAAGACATATGTAAAGGGCACTCAAATCTCACACTAGAAGGATGAATGCAAGAAAATACAGGCTGACATTTATGGGTTATGGGAAGGTGAACAGGTAAGACTGGGAAAGAGGGAAGGAAGCAAGTAGTTTTTTCATGGCATGAAAAATACTACTGGTATGAAGACACATGCTAGGCATATTCATGTATTTTCTGTTACTGTAACAAAATACTTGAGGCTGAGTAGGAAACAAAGACACAAGGTTTATTCAGGTCACACAGTTTTGGAGCATGAAATCCCACTATTCAGCAGGCTCTAGTGTATTTTCTGTAATGAGGTTAAATCACAAGAGAATAAACTATTAGGACCCTCAGGGTGTTCAAAAGGTAAATACATATAAATAAACTCATGTGGGTACTCTGATGCCAGCCTGATTAAAATAATACAAAGGGCTGTAAAACTCTTCCTGGATTAGAAGTGCACTGGGAAAATGTTCTATAAGAAGGTGATGCCAAATGTTATGTCATTGCTTAAATCTAAAGCATCTCCCCAGTTTTTCATGTGTTCAGAGGTGAGCCCTTTGGAGCAAGATCATATCAAGGGGGTGCTATAGTCATCAGTGAATCCACTGATGCATGCAGAACTGCATGTGGGGAGGTGCAGCTGGTGCTGAGGCTGGCCACCGGGCAGATGACCTGGAAGGGTCTGGTTGCTTCCATTTACTAGGGTATGTTTGTGACGTCTATTATTTACACAGAATCGATCATTTGTTATCCCTGATCCCTTGGAATCACAGAGTGTATTTCTCTCCTTTCCTTCTGAATATCATGGGGTAAACAGATTTCCTCGCCAAGGCCTCTTGTGCCCTGAAGCCGGCTAACCAGGGACCAAATTCACCAAACCATAAGAGCCTCCTTTAAGTTTCGGGTGTTGAGTACTTTGCTCCAGCAATGACAGGACTAATGCACCTTGAATATTAAGGAGACGCTGCTTGCAAGAACAGTGGCGCAGAGTAAAGGAGGGCAACTGCTTAGACTATACGAGAAAAGTACACAGAAAGAGGTATATTTCTAGGTAAAGTTGCCAGGTCGTGTTGGACATGGCCGAGTGTTGGTGTTTCTACAACACACAGGTGCAGATGCTCAGAAAGAAGTTTCCTTTATTAGAGTGGGCATCACGAGAGAGAAACTTGAGGCATAGATCTGGAATCCTCAGCACAAAAGTGACAAGTGAAGCTGGGAAGATTATGTTGGTGACATGGGAAACTCAGAAAAAGGACATGTTTTAAAATCTTGGAGCTGGAAATAGGATGAGGGTTATCTAGTTCAGTCTCTTCCTTTGAATAATAATAAAAGTCCTCAGAAAGATACATGGCATGCTCATTGTCACGTAGCCATCTTCTGGCAAAACTAGGACAATCAGGAGAAGCTGCGCGGTAACTTTCACAGCACGACAGCTTCCTTGGAGAACATTTACCTGGGGAAGAAAAGACAACCCAGGACCAAGGGGTCATCACATCAGCAGAAAGGGCATGGTGCTGAATGTGGGCCACAGCACTCCGAAGCTATCTTTTGAAGCTTGTCCTAATTATTTAGACTTGATACCAACACTGAAGTTGGTGACTCCAATTTTTCACATGGACACAGAGCGAAAGTATACTGCTAGTCTTTCTTACAAACAGCCTTTCACATAAAAGTAGCTCGACATAAAGAACTTTTATCACAAAGAACTTTTAGTGTCTGTAATTTCTGGCTTGCAGGATTCCAGTCAGAAACTCTGATAGAACAAATGATAAAGGATGTGTTCTTCTTTAGTAACATAACTGTAAGACATTTGAAAGACAGCAACTTTCTTTTCTGTTACTTCAAAATTTGACCATCATTTATGAATGACATATTTAAAATAAGCTTATAAAAGGGAATGGTATCCCTTGTAAAAATAAAATACTGGACTGCCAAGAGTATAGCCTTGAAGAAATCTGAGCAAGGAGAGAAACACAGTGATTTTACTTTCTAAATATGTCCTCACTGTGATCATTTTCGTCTCTTCCACCACAGTCTCACAAGGACAAGGCTGCAGCAGGTCTCCCTAGTTTTCCTCTGCAAATCCACATTCCACATAACCACTGGAATTATGTTTGCAATACTAACCCCAATCCTGTCTTCCCACCCCCACCGCCATAGTTTTGCAGTGTGTTCATTACTTGTCAGATCTGACTGACTGCTGTGGCCTCATCGCGGCTCTCTGATCTCCGCTCCTCATCGCCCTCACTGATTTGCTGTCCTCCGTTTCCCATTAACTCCACTATGGCTATGCTAGCCTCCTGAGAGTCCTTCAGGGAAACACCTCGAGGTCTCCCTTAGGTCCATCAGCTGCTGTGACCTCTGCCCAGATGTGCCTTCCCCAAGCGTTCCAAGGGCAGGGTCCCCAGCATTTGGTTGTTCATGCAAGTGTTTCCCCGATCTTTGGAAAACACCCTTAAGTATGTGATCTATAATACCTCACCCCTGATCACATGATGTAACTTGTTTAATTTTATTTAAATTATTAGTGACATGTGAAATCATTTTCTGTTTCTTTGTTGATTATCTCTGTGGAGGACAACCAGGACTGCTCTCCTTGAAAGAAGAGCATTTAGGGCTGGCTAAATAGCTCAACGGATTAAAGCGCCTGTGAGTAAGCTCTGGGTATGGGGTTCGATCCCCGGGCCTGCCATGCCTGCCCCTCAACCCCCGGGGCACACTGACAGGGCAACTGAGACTGGGTGTGGTGGTATGGGTCTGTAATTCCAGCACTTGGGAGACTATAGATAGGCGGATCACCAGTCCAATCTATTAGTGAGACCCTGTACACCCTGTAGATCCTTCTTTAAAATACCACCCCCCCCCAAAAAAAAATCCAGCGTTTATCTCCAGTTTGCCTAAACCTAGCCCTGGCTCTGTGTATTGATGTGCAGCAAGCTGGCTGGATATTTCTTTATCCCTTCAGCTGGGTTTAAGCAATACAAATGAGTCATGCTGATATGTGGCCTTTAAAGCAGTGGGGCAGGGCAGGGTGCCCCACTAGAGCTTCCAAGGAGTATGAGTGAGCTCCACCCCATGACAATGCACTGTCAGTTGAGATGAGGCTCCGAGAGAGCCCAGGCCATCTCAGCGCAAGAAGATGGGCCTCACAGCTCGCCTCTGGC